TCTCTCTCTCTCTCTCTCTCTCTCTCTCTCTCTCTCTCTCTCTCACACACACACACACACACACACACACACACACACACACACACACACACCGTTTTAAAGTCTGCTTAGTCTGTCCCTCAAGCGCCTCTTCTTACCGTGCACTGATCTGAGCAGAGCCGAACAGTTGGGAGGAGTTCCAGCGCACCTTACGCAATGATACTGTACAGTAGGAGCTCCGATTGTGTAGAAGTTGAGCAGAACAACAATCTTATGCTTAATATCCCCGTTTCGAAAACAAAGGAAAAATGTAGAATAGTACGTGGCCGAAGGCGCATCTTTCTCTTTCTACTGAACTCGAGTCCGTCTCATGCGCTGCTCTCGAACAGTACCGTTCACATGAATGGGCTGTGTAGCAGCGTCTCTTTCAACGCGCTGGTTGATCCCGCCAGGTTTGGTCTCCTCAGCAATTCGTCAACCTTAGTAATGGCCTTGGTCCTCGCCTCACCACTTTCGAAATGTGAAAAAGGCAAAAAAATAATGTAGCCGATGCACTTGGCCATGTTCCAGCGGGAAGTTCGTTCTCATTTGGCACATTTTGAGAGTGCTGTGGCGATGCCCTCTGATCCACTGGTCTTACCCGCCCGTCCGCAGATTCCGCACACATTCCGCACACGACCACAGTCGATCCGGAAGCTGGGGAGAGATCCCACTGGCAAAGACGATTGGAAACTCGTATGTTTTTCATTTCGCGAGTGGCGTGGCAGGGCCCTTCCTCCCGCGTCCTCTCTATATTCCTTTTCAGGTTCTCTGGGGCTTGGGCATCCGCAAAGCTGGCTCTATTGGGAGCTCATGTCCAGAGGACCCCAGAGGAACACTGCTTTTTGGGCTGAGGCAGGCTGAAGAGGCATTTTTTCAAGTTGGGCGGGGCCTTTTGCGACCTTTTTTTGTTTTTTGTTCCGTCTTTTTATTCAGAACAAGTGTTGAAATGCCCCTAAGAGCTGGGGTATATCGTCAGATGCACCTACAACACAGGGGAATGGTGAAATGCCCCTAATTTCTGCATATCCCCCTGTGCTGGCCTGAGGCAACATTCTGATACCTGGCCGTCGAGTTCAGGGCCTGCGCACTCCTTCAGCCATTAGAACGAGTCCAACAGCCAGAAGTATAAGGGCATATAGAAACGTTCTATTTCCAGCAGTAGATTGGTGTATTTTGAGCAGTTGGTTGGTTATAGAGCTCTGCTTGTAAGCGAAACTAGCTGAGGCTGCCAGGATAACTCCCGGTTGAATTGTGAGGTCCCGTGAGGTCCCCGGCCTCGTCACATGAATTTTCGCAAAGATATCTACAAGCTTTCCAAAAAAAATAAAATAAAAAAAAATACAGTTATACAACTTGGTGGGGGCATACGCAAACCCTGCCGAGTCCAAATATGCGAGTGGGGTATTTCCCTAGGTTTCATTTCTGTGAGGAGGGCATTTCGCTATACCCCAACAACTTCCCTCTTTTATTTTGCAACCCCATGCCCTCATCTGCCTCTGCTGGTAAAGATGCCAACCCATACATCTCTCCCGGCCCCAGATCAGAGCTTCCCCCCTAACTCTTCCCCTACTCCCTATAGGACGTTCAACCCTGGGACTGGAGAGCAATTTTATTAGGATACTGGAACCCTCAATTAATAGAGTTATCAGAATTCCAACGTAACTTCTTTCATCTAGGAAGGAAAGCAATATTGTGGGCTTTATGGCACAAACGGTGTATCAATGAAATGGAAGAAGTGAAGATAGAAAGTGAAGAAGTAATAGAAACAATACGAAGCTTTGTCCAAACGGAACTAAGGGGACAATGGGAGAAAAAGAGAACAAAGCTTAAGGAATTCAAGCAAAAAGAAGACGTCAAACAAGGAATACGAAAGTTCCAACTAGAATGGCTAGGGGATGCAGCTGGCGAGAAATTGGGGGATATAATATGGCCAGGGAAGGAAGAGGAGAAGGGGAGGATCAAACGGGATCACCAGATTAACTTTCAGAATTGGTTCGACATCCAACCAGGGGCCTGTTTTAGAGCACCCGAACTGTTTGCTGATCCCTTCCCACCTGCTCCGTTAGCATTGGTGGATCTTGAGTGGTTTGGAGGAGGGGTGTGATGAACCGATTTCCGCACCGCGCGATTTCCTGCGCGACTGCGATGAGGGGTCCTAAGCTGGGAAGGTTGGGCCAATTACGGGAGATCGGGATCGGTGGAAAATTGCATCAGTGCCCTCGTTTCTTCGTCTTTTTCGTCGTCTCTTTTCGAAAGGTTGGGTTCGGGGCCGGGTGAGTCCCGGGACGATCGAGTGATTGATTGGTCAGTTGGATGGCTGGCGTGCCGCCGAGCGCGCGAATAATAAATGTTGACGTTGCTTCTTTCTTGTTCTGCTGTGAGCAGGGGAGAAACTTTTAGGCGCGGACATCGCGCGAGAATTTTGCTTCGTTCTTTTTGAAATGTCTTTTTCAAATTCTTTTTCGAATCTTGTCGAGCCCCGATAGCTCTCGGAATTTCGGACTTTCTTTCCGGAACTTCTGCTTTTCGCTTTTCGCATTAGATAGGAATTTAGGAATTTTTGTAATTAGGATTTTCTTTTGCGCGCGACGCTTTTTGCTTACTCGCTTCTTTATGTGGCCGCAACGGAACTCGGATTAGTCCGCGCCTTTAATTGTGTGTGTAACTGTAATTTTGGGTTGGCGCCATTGTAACTGTATCTCTCTTCTTGTTTCCCCTTTCCCGCCCTTCTTCTCTTTCTTTTCACTGTGTTTTGGTAGCTGCGGTCTGCATGATCGGATCGATGCGTGGAGAGCGGCTACGTCCCCCACGCCGCGTTTGGGCCATGCAGAATGTAGGCGCTCCTTCTCTAATCTTCCTTCTGAGTCCTTGTAATTCCGTGTTCTTCGCGCATGCATGCACGCTATAAATCTCGGCTGCACGATTAGTTAGCTCTCTTAACCAGCTAAGTGGAAGCTCGGGGTTGCGCGATCAGAGAGGGTCGGCACACGAGCAAAGTAAGAGGTGAGTAGAGTAGGAGTAGGGCGACCCGACGAGCTGGTGCCAAACGCGCGAGGTTGACACGGGCCACGACGAACTGTGGGCGCGGGCGAACCTGACAGGTGCGGGAGGACTAAGCGGGGTGACAACTTCGTGGGTTGGTGCGCGACGATGGACTCTCCGCATCAGACAAAGAGAGAGAGAGGAAGAGGGAGCTGAGGTTGATGGACGCGGATTTGCTATTTCTTTTATCTTTTCCCCCTCCCTGCTTATGTACATAAGTTTTGATTTCGTCTCAAGGCGAATCACCCGTTTCTGTTTTTCGGAATCTGGACTTGGGTTTTGGCTCACACTTGTCTTTGCGATTTCCATCTCAGATATGTCGTGTGTATATGCTGATGAAGGGATGTTATGACTGTTTGCTGATTCTTATGCCGATCCTTGCCTTTGTCTCTCATCCTGATGTACTCGTACGAAGGGTAGGAATTTTGCATAGTCGTCAATGTTGTTTTCATTGTTGCTTGTCATTTGATTGAGCTGTTATGGTTGTTGCATCTTGCATGCTAAAAAATTACGGAGTGATTAGGCGACCGAATGTCTGTTGTCCCGCGAACGCCGCGCGAGGACACGTGTACCCACGATCCGACCTGCACATTTACACGTATCCCCGTGTGTCGATTCGTCAACTCCAGAAAGGACCATTGATTGCAGGAATACCGCTTGATCGGATACGGTCATCCGGGGTCTGCGACGGAGCAATCATCTCGTGTGAACCCGTGTAAGCGCGACTTGACTCGCGCGGCTTGCACGTGCTCACACGCGGTGATCGCCATTGGTACAGACCCACCCGTAGGCATCTCAGAGTTCTGCAATGACATAATGACACACTCCGAGAGCTCAGAGTCATTGTTGTACGACCCGGATTACTTCACCCCACGGATAGAAGAAAGCCTTCGACAGAGATTTCCCTGTCTAACGGAAAATCGGTTGTGTCCTAGGGAGTTTCATTGCGCTACCACCAGCGACCCCCGGTGCTCTGATTTCTCCACTTCATACCACACCCACTACTTTATCTCCCCTGGTTTTGTCGTTATTTTCACTGACTTCCCTCCCTTCCGCCTTCTTCTCCCATATCACCAACTGAGGGTCATCCCGTGGAAAGCCATAGCCCCTTACTGGCCCCGCACGCCTTGTGGAAAATGCCGACAACGCGGCAACCAGAGAACCTCGGGCCCAACCAGAACGTGCGGCGACCGGCGCCACGTGGCGACACCCGACGACCCGACCCATTGGAATCACACTCACACCAAAGAGACCTTCCGATGAACCGCCGTCCTCAACACCGATGGATCGCACGACCATAAACGACCAGCGCATGCCATCTGCCTTATGATCCGAAGTGATCCGCCCTCTCTGCCAAATTGCACCCAAGCCCCCGAACAATTCTGCCGCAGGAGATCTCAGTTATAACCTGGGAATCCACACCCACTTTCCCAAAAAATCCTTGGCACACCCCTTTTCGCACTTCCAGGCCCACGTTCTACTCCGATCAGGAAGTCGTGCTGGGCGTGAGGTAGGTATCGGAGCCCGACACGTGGCCGGGTTGTAAGGACTAACGGCATGACCATTGAGGGATCTGGCTAACCGAGGACGACCTCGACCCCGGAACACGCATAGACACGACCCCGTCATCACTAGAAGCAGATCGGTTAATCGACGGGCAGCCAATATGAATGCTAATCCCCAAAATCCGAACCCACGGCAGCAGAATGCCAATCAACAACAAAATCCTAATCAACCCGCCCCACGAGCAAGGGCTCCCATGACAACACTCGATCTCTATTTGTTTGACCCTGCGCATCATCTTGTTGGAGCATGGCTAGCCACGCTTTGGGCGCAGCAGTACGACGATAACGAAGCTCAGGTAAACATTCCCGCCCGATTAGGAGGGGACGCTCATCATTGGTTTAGTACCTACGTATGGGTGGATCTCCCTACTTTTGAGCGAGATTTTTTGAATCGATTCGACTATGTCCATCAAGAGCAAGCGCTCTACATGATCAAGGACCGAGTTCAAAAACCTTTCGAGTCCATTGCAGAATATCGAAACCGGTTCTATAGAATGTTTATGAAAACTGAGCGGGGCGAGCAAGTAGGGAGAGATCTGTTTATAGACGGACTCCGCAGCCGGACGATAAGGGCAAAACTGCGGAAACAGTTCTCCCCCATCAATCACACGCTGCAACAGATTATGGCAGATGCAGAAGAGATGGAAGGGAAGTTCGCGACGAGTTTCTTAGAAGGAGAGGACTATCCTAAGGAAGGAGACTCGTCCGAGCTTTCGAGGGCAAGGGTTGAGTTGGCTGCGTTGCAAAACAAGTTTGAAAACATGGGGTTTGTATCAGGACCTGTTACCTATATGGAACAGATACCCCCCAAACGACCAGCACCTAGTGTGATTACGGGCATGCCCGCCCCCGTGATACCAACACCTGTAATGACGGCACCCCCACCACCAATTGAGAATCCCGTACGATCGAGTGAATCAACCGCCATATTTGAACTGACCAAAACGCTAATTAGTATGATCCAAGAAATCAAAAAGGAACAACGGGAGCATAATGCTCGATTGGAGGCTATGATGAGGAATATGCGACCCATCACAGTACGAGCCGCCCCGATCCAACAAGGATTGGCCCCGACACATGTTCTTGGAGGATCCGCGAGCAATCTGAACGTCTGTTATGTGTGCCATCAACCATGGCATTTGGCTCGTGATTGGCCCCACCGGCCCCCACAAAAACGGGTCGGGGTCGCACCCATGGCAGCAGCCCCCATCGCTAACGGATCTGGACGGGTAGGGGCCCTGATGGAGGAAATGGAAGGTCGAGGAAGTGCGTTAGCTACCGCGGAAGAAGCTGCTGAGCTCATTCCGTTGGACCAATGTGTGTCGCTTGGCTATCCGGGGCTAGGGATGATTGGAACGATCAGACCGACGCCGGAACAGAAAGAAGTGGCGGAGTGGCGACCTTCTCCAGGAGAGATGGAGTCGGGGGGACCTACCTTCGTCAGTGGGGAATTTCAAATCGATGTGCTGAATATCATTCGAGCCCTTGACCATCGGATTCCACTTCCGATTGGCCATCTGCTTTCGATCTCTGAACAGGCTAATGAGCGAATGTTACAACACTTTAAGGCGAATCGAAAACGATTTGCCCTCGCCCGAACACCGAGCATAAAAGCTAAAAGCCCCACGCCAGATGAAAATACGGCGGGCACGTCGGACCCAATACGGGTAGGATTAATACAGAAAGACGATCATTTCCTGAGGATTAAACCTATCCCGTGGAAGTCTGCGGAATGCGACTTTGAAATTTGGGGTGTCCCGTACAATGCAATTATCGATTCCCGAGCAACTGTTTTGGCTATCTCGTTACGTGTGCGGGAAAGAGCAGGAAGAAGGAACGACTTGATCATGCTCACGGAAAGAGATCAACTCGTTTCCAAAGACGAAGAAAATATTAAAACGGTGGGACGGATGACCAATGTTGCATTTCGATTAGGGAAGGTGCATGCTTTGGGAGATGTCGTAGTATTAGATGTTAATGCTTACGACGTTCTTTTCGGTCTTCCCGGCCTTGTGGCCTTACGAGCAAATTTGGATTTCGAACGACAGTCAATTATCCTCCGGAATACGGGAGGAAAACCCTATGCTGTACCTATGAGACTGACTCTTCGCACTACCATCAATGCAGTTCCGCGAGTTTCTTCGATGACAGCAGGAACCCTTCGCATGATCACCTGGGAAAACTCCGCAGACGATGAGCTACCGTCAAAATATACAGATAGAAGTGATGAAAACGATCCGAAATTCTAAAACTAGCATGACAGCGCGTTTACTACCCGCCACCCAGAACGATCGCAATAACGATGCATCTAACTACTCGGAATGAGCAAAGGACCCAAGCGATGATTATGGGCGAACCCCTCGTACAGATCTCGAGGATGGTCGACTCTCTGGAACCCCCTCGAACCTTGTACGAAGGAGCGGTCCCTCTTCTCGCACGATATAATGATAAGCGAGCTTTTTGCGACATCACGAGCCTACCACGATCGTTGCTGTCACCCGCGAAGGAAGTACGACTGTTACGCTTAGGGGCGGAAGCCAGTTCTTTGGAACCCCCTGGGCATTTCGAGGTTGAATCAGAAGAGCTTGGAGTAAAGATCGCAACTAGAACCATACCATGGCAAGATATTTATGATGGGATCACCCCGGAAGGACACATGGCCATCTGGGAGGAAGACGCCCAGATGATGGCCACAGTATTCTCCTGGCGATCGGACCATTCATTTATCTCTGCACCCCCACCCGATGTGGCGAAACAAGCACGCACGAAGCATATCGACGTACAGATCTGGGATCAGCTTTTCGAGTTACACGTTCCACATTACGTACCTGATGAGATTCATTGTTTGATTGCGGACATTCTAACGGAATATCAGGGAATAATTAGTATAACGGACACTGACATCGGCTTGTCGTTGGTCATTCAACACGAAATCCAGACGGAAAATCATTCCCCAATCCACTGCAAACCTTACCGATATTCCCTGATAGAACGGAAAAAGGCTCTCGAACGAATTCGGGAATTCGGAGCAAGCGGTTGGATTGAGCCTGCCACTGGGCCATGGTTATTTCCAGTAGTGTTAGTACCGAAGAAGAACGGATCAATCCGCATATGCATCGATTATCGCAAACTGAATGAGATCACGATTTAAGATGTGTATCCGCTCCCCCGGATTGATGATTTGCTGGATGCAATTGGATGTGCTAATTATTTTAGCAAGTTTGATATTCGGCATGGTTTCCATCATATTCTGGTTAAGGAGGAAGATCGGTCAAAGACGACCTTCGTATTGTTTGAGGGCACGTGGCAGTGGGTTCGGTGCCCGATGGGTATATGCAACGCACCGGCCACATTCCAACGAGCAATGAACGTGACGTTCCAGAACTTCGTCAACAAGACGCAGCTGACTCAGGGAATGATCAACTTCTGCGTGGCCCTGTACATGGATGATATCCTCGTCTACTCGGAGACCTATCACGGACACGCGCAACACATCGAATGGATATTGGGAGCACTGAGAAACGAGGGATTCAAGATTGCACTCGAGCAGAGCGATTTTTTCCTCTCGGAAATTTCGTTCTTGGGGTACGTAGTGACACGTGGAGGGCTGCAACCGGATTCCAGAAAAGTCGCGGTTGTGAAAGAAGCCCCAGTTCCCACGTGGCTGACGCAGGTTCGAGCTTTCTTAGGCCTGACATCATACTACCGCCGTTTTATCAAGGGTTTTGCAGCAATTGTTCGGCCTCTCACGAACCTGCTTCGAAAGCACCAGCCTCTGCAGTGGGACTCTGAGTGTGGACAAACCTTTGATGCACTCAAAGAGGCCCTGGTCACTGCACCTGTTTTGATCCGACCGGACCCTACCAAGCAATTTATTCTTATAACGGACTGGCAACCGGAAGCGATCTCCGCCATTTTGGCACAAAAGGGGAACGATGGTCGCGAACACGTCATCGAGTACGCGTCACGAACAGTGTCAGACGAACGAAGGAATGATTCAGCGCCTCAAGGCGAATGCTATGCAGTAGTCTGGGGAATCGAACACTTTCATCCGTATCTTTACAGAAAGAAGTTCCGCCTTGTAACGGATCATGAGCCCCTGCTGGCTTTGAAGAAGCTCACTAATTACACGGGCATGATTGGACGTTAGGCGGTATGTCTATAGGAGTACGACTTCGACATTATCCATCGGAAGACAGAAAGACACGGCAGCGCGGACGGACTGACACGTGTGCATCGGCCCGCTAAAGTACCTAAGGGCGAGGAAATCACTCCGTGGAAGGAGTCGGAATCGGCGAACAGGCCTAAGTATGGACAAGTGGCAGTTCTCCCACGTGGCAAGAAGCAGACCGGTGGCAATGGGTGACGGAGGTAACCCCACAACCCCTCTTTCTCCCCTCTCCTCTTCATCTCTTCTCTCCCTGCCTGATAAATTTTGCTATTTTTGCGAAGCCATTTCTCACGTATATTCGATCTCCATGCGTCCGAACGGGGAAGGCTATGCGGAATGGATGGATTGTCGACAGTGTGTCGCACGAGCCCATGGCTCGTGCATCCAATACAGAAATGACGGTAAGTCGTGGCTATGCCTCTTGTGTCGGGTTGACAAGATCCCGGCCGAGGTTCGCTTTTTAGATGCCACGTCAGAAGGATTGGAGAAGACCCGGAAGTTTAGAAGGGCTGAAGTATGGACTGATATTGCTCTGATTGCTACCTTAGTGGGTAACCCCCTCCAGGATTTCACCAAGGAAGATCGGAGGAGGGCTAACGAAAGGGCTCAGGATTATCGATGGGTCGAGGGTAGGTTAGAAAAGCGAAAAACGGACGGCACCGGGATTTGGGTGGTTGTACCGCCCCCGTTCATGAGGTATGACTGGGTGAAGACAGCACACGAGGAAACGGCAGCCCATTTTGTCGTGCGGATTACAGAATCGGCAATCGACAAAAACGAATGGTATTGGTCCAATATTCGAGACAATGTGAAATTCATCGTCTCAAACTGCCAAGTCTGCGCCGCTGACAAGGCGCCGATCCAGCCGCCACGATCGATAATACCAACGGTAGTTGAGCAGCCGTTTCAAAGGGTGAGTATGGATACAACCGATATCGTGGTACCTCTTGGTCCTAATAGTTGTGAATATTCAGTCTTGTTGGTATTTGTTGACCATTTTTCGAAATGGATCGAGGCCTATCCGTGTCGCACGCGACAAGCCGCCGAAATCGCGCGGTATGTTAACCGTTTTCTCGGGATGCACCAGGATACGGAAGAAATCCTGACCGATAACGGGGCAGAATTCAGAGGGGAAGTATTAAGGAACCTGGTCATACACGGTGTCGCTGTGCAGAATACCGCACCCCACATGTCACAATCCAATGGGCTGGTAGAAAATGCAAATAGGGTGATAAAGACAGCGCTGTGACGAAACATCGCGGCACGAGATCCGAGGCCTTGGCCTGATATCGTCGATCACATCCTGGAGGTCCATCGCGGGACGCCCCACGAATCGATGGGCCTGAGCCCCTTCCAGTTAAGAACCAATAGCGTCCCTTGCGTTTCGATACCAAGCCTCCCCGATGAATCCACGCTGAACCGACGGCCCACGAGAGCCACGGTTCGAGACAAGGCCAAGCGGCACTTAGAGCTAATGGAACGGTCCCTCGCCAGACTAGCCCGAAAACGCCAGAAAATGATCGAGTTGCCCCATGGCCGACAGGTCCGAAGTTATGAGACCTGGAACAGGAACGCAGGTCCATGGTCCCAGTACAAATTGGGGGACATTGTGCAGGTAAGGAAATGTGCTCGTCAGGGTAAGCTAGCGCCACGATTCTTCGGGCGATTCCACGTGATTGAGATCGGACCGAACGACGTGAACACCGTGCGGCTTGCGCCTGAGGTCTCCGGCAGCCGATCGGCTCGTCCAATCATCCGCCACATGTCCTACCTACGTCCCCTTCTGTCTTCCCCATCTTTGCCTTCATCTGATTCCTTCTCCGCTGCAGAAGAGGACGACGATGGCTTATCGCCTGTCTCCTCGTCTCCTTCTCGTTCTCCTTCTGTTACTCCGCCCAGCTCACCATCGCCATGAGTTTTCTTGCGGAGCGAGCTTTCGGCGATCCTCTGCTGGTACCACGGTGTTACATATCGGCGATCCGACAAGTTTATCATCCGCGGCTCAGCCCGAATCTTCGACGACTCGCGCAATTCTTCTGCACTGAGGGAGTGTACGCAGCCGCTGAGTTTCAATTTGCAGGCAGTCCCCGGGCGGTTGTTTTGGCGGAGGCGGTAGCGGTTCATCGGCGATCAGCTCCTGGAATTAGCCACGTGTCTACGGTTGTTGCCTTCAGCGGCAACATCAACACCGTCAGCCCGCTGCGGCATACGGCCATCCGGCCGACGCTTTGGCTGTGGGCGCAGCAGCTGGCATCAGAGTGGAATCGGTGGCTCACGCCCCACGGGGATAATCTTTTCCCCACGGGCATCGACCTTGACTGGATTCGAGCCTTCCAGCACGAGCCGGCGGTGGTGCTCCCTGAACTCATCCCTTCCAACATCCTCAATGAACCCGTCCCTAATCTCTACCTTCGACCTCCCTTCCTTCTTCCCCACCTTCTGGCAATCCAGGGTCCATCCGCATTTCTCCTTTTGTTTGGAATCACTCGTCGTCCCCCTCCTTGATCCCCAGCAGTGGAGGCGTTGGCAAGATCACTTCGCCGAGTTGTTGGTGTGTCTGGTCGGAGTAAAGGTCACGTGGACGCGACACAAGGAGCACCGCCAGTGGGCTGAGTACCTTGAGCTGCTAATCATCTAGGCGTGGAGAACGGGAGTGGAGGGCGATCTACTCGGATTCCTCTTCGGATCGGTGCGGTCCAACCATCGCCAACTGATCGTGCAAGAGCTAACGGTCCCCCTTGCGCAGCTGGCCGACGACCTCCCACTTGAGATCGTCTCACAGAGCGACAACAGCCCAGTCCCGCACGTTCTCACGCGGACCTTGACGCCATATCTTCAGTGGTCGGCGTGCTTGGAGGAACCGGGAAGCGGCCGCAACCCACCATCACAGCGCGATTATCTGAGCCCGTACGAAATAGTGGATCTCGCCTTCTTTCAAGATCGAACTGCTTCCGAGAACGAAGAGGTAGAGATTGCAGAAGAGGAGGAAAGATCAGAAAAAGAAGAAGCTGAAGAAGAGGACGCAGAGGAAGAGACTCCGGAGGAGGGGAGTTACAGTGAGCACAGCGAAGGGGAACAAAGCCCGGAAGACGACGAAGGAGAAGAAGAAGATCAGGAGGAGTTAGACGAGTCGGAGTGGGAAGGATTTGAGGAGGAGGTGCGTGCGGAGGCTCGAGCGCAGGCCCAAGCGCAGAAGAGGGAGGACATCGCAGCCGGGAAGCGACAGCTGGACTTCGCTAGCGCAGCCAATCAGCAGCTCACCAACGATCCGGCCCGGGATCCAGAGTCGCCTAAGCCCGAGGATGGGGACCCAACTGTCGAGACTTCGGCTGCACCAGCAAGGCGGCGACGAAGCCGATCCCCATCCCCCTATACCTCAGCCCGTCCCCCAATTCGTCCCCGTACTGATGCCGGGCATTTGGCTTCGTCCCCGGTCGTTATCCCGCCGTCCCCTTGACCACCTCTCTTTTCGCCTGATTACCACTCGCGTTACCTTCCCCAGCAATCCCTTCTCCATCGATACTTTCCGCTTTTTCTACGCTACCCGCCTCGCTGTCAGTGTTCATCCCCATCCTTCCACCCGATGCGCCCTCCCTGTCTTCTGCCTCCATATCCTTCTCCTTAGTGCCGCGTGGCGAGGTCACAATATGATCGAGGTATACTGCATGATTATGGGGACTATCCCCGCATGCGAGAACCACGATCACTTCCGCGCGACACTTTTTCGAACCTCTACCACCCTCTACCCTGATTACCTCGCATCCCTCCCTTACACTGGCAATCGATTCCCCCGCTTTCACCAGATCGTCTGCTATCAGGAACTCCCGGTAACGGTGGCCGGAATGGAAAGCTTCCTTCCCCCACTACCAATCAACCCTCCCCCTTGCCATCCCTCCATGTATCGTCTCCCTTTTCCCCTTCTTGGCGCTCGCTGATGTATGACCGATGGGCACGCGTCGTGATGACGACGCGTGTGATCCCCTCCTTAGATTATCAATGGCCCTCCCTGAGGAATTAGTAGTAGAGCTATGTTTGCCACGTTGGACGACGTCCACACTCATTCAAACGGTAAGTGGCATAGAGAGAAGAGTTTCACGTGTCGATTGATCAGAGAAGTCGACACGTGTCAACAAGCAAGCCGGAGCTTGCTAATATTAGAACCCCCTGGGCGTCACATATGTGACGAACCGATTTTCGCACCTCACGATTTCCTGCGCGACTGCAATGAGGGGTTCTAAGCTGGGAAGGTTGGGCCAATTACGGGAGATCGGGATCGGTGGAAAATTGCATCAGTGCCCTCATTTCTTCGTCTTTTTCGTCGTCTCTTTTCGAAAGGTTGGGTTCGGGGCCGGGTGAGTCCCGGGACGATCGAGTGGTTGATTGGTCGGTTGGATGGCTGGCGCGCTGCCGAGCGCGCGAATAATAAATGTTGACGTCGCTTCTTTCTTGTTCTGCTGTGAGCAGGGGAAGAACTTTTAGGAGTGGACATCGCGCGGGAATTTTGCTTCGTTCTTTTAGAAATGTCTTTTTCAAATTCTTTTTCGAATCTTGTCGAGCCCCGATGGCTCTCGGAATTTCGGACTTTCTTTCCAAAACTTCTGCTTTTCGCTTTTCGCATTAGATAGGAATTTAGGAATTTTTGTAATTAGGATTTTCTTTTGCCGCGCGGCCCTTTTTGCTTACGCATTTCTTTATGCGGCCGCAACGTAACTCGGATTAGTCGGCGTCTTTAATCGTGTGTGCAACTGTAATTTTGGGCTGGCGCCATTGTAATTGTATCTCTCTTCTTGTTTCGCCTTTCCTGCCCTTCTTCTCTTTCTTTTCGCTGTGTTTTGGTAGCCGCGGTCTGCATGATCGGATCGATGCGTGGAGAGCGGCTACGTCCCCCACGCCGCGTTTGGGCCATGCAGAACGTAGGCGCTCCTTCTCTAATCTTCCTTCTGAGTCCTTGTAATTCCGTGTTCTTCGTGCATGCATGTACGCTATAAATTTCGGTTGCGCGATTGGTTAGCTCTCTTAACCAGCTAAGTGGAAGCTCGGGGTTGCGCGATCAGAGAGGGTCAGGACACAAGCAAAGTAAGAGGTGAGTAGAGCAGGAGCTCGGCGACCCAACGAGCTGGTGCCAAACGCGCGAGGTTGACACGGGCCACGACGGACTGTGGGCGCTGGAGAACCTGACGGGTGCGGGAGGACTAAGCGGGGTGACAACTTCGTGGGTTGGTGCGCGACGACGGACTGTCTGCATCGGAGAGAGAGAGAGAGAGGAAGAAGGAGCTGAGGTTGATGGACGCGGATTTGCTGTTTCTTTTATCTTTTCTCCCTCCCTGCTTATGTACATAAGTTTTGATTTCGGCTCAGGGTGAATCACCCGTTTCTGTTTTTCGGAATCTGGACTTGGGTTTTGACTCACACTTGTCTTTGCGATTTCCATCTCAGATATGTTGTGTGTATGTGTTGATGAAGGGATGTTATGACTGTTTGCTGATTCTTATGCCGATCCTTGCCTTTGTCTCTCATCCTGATGTACTCATACGAAGGGTAGGAATTTTGCATTGTCGTCACTGTTGTTTTCATTGTTGCTTGTCTTTTGATTGAGCTGTTACGGTTGCTGCATCTTGCGTGCTCGAAAATTACGGAGTGATTAGGCGACCGAATGTCTGTTGTCCCACGAACGCCGCGTGAGGACACGTGTACGCACGATCCGACCTGCCCATTTACACGTATCCCCGTGCGTCGATTCGTCAACTCCAGAAAGGACCATTCATTGCAGGAATACCGCTTGATCGGATACGGCCATCCGGGGTCTGCGACGGAGCAATCATCCCCTGTGAACCCGTGTACGCGCGACTTGACCCGCACGGCTCGCACGTGCTCACACGTGGTGATCGCCATCGGTACAGACCCACCCGTAGGCTGTGTATATCTCCATACGAATACGGCCCGTCCGTTCGTTCGGACGTCCGTACATACGGCCCCCCCGACGTCCGTACGGCCCGTACGTACGGACTTTTGGCCCTCCGTGCGTAGCCTTCTGGGGGGGTGTTGAGGGAGTGGATGGGCCGGGGGGGGGTCGGGTGTCAGGGGTACCCCCCCCATTCAAAAAAACAAGGAAAAAAAAAGATTTTTTTTCTGTTTGGTCCAGGGGGTAAAAAAAAATAAAAATTGATTGATTGATTAATTGGTTGATTGATTGATTGATTGATTGATTGATTGATTGATTGATTGATTGATTGATTGGATGATTGATTGATTGATTGAGTGATGGGTTGATTGATTGATTGATTGATTGATTGATTGCATGATGATGATGTCGTAGATTGGTCCTGAGAAAGAATGCTTATGCCAATGTATGTTCGCAAAATTTTAAAAAAGAAAATATTTTTGCGAAAGAAATATCATAGATTGATGATGATGATGATGATGATGATGATGATGGTG